CTTAAGCAGATATCACACTGAGAAAATCATTCAAACTTCTAATTACTTTGAACAATTAATGAGTCCTCTAGATAGCTATCATAAAGAACACTATTAAAGCAGAATTAACCATTTTAGACATTGCTTTTCTCTTTTACTCTACCTACTATTTATTGTCAGGTGAAACAACTTATTATTTGTTGAAAAGTTTCAAGAAAAATAGTATATACATGTTTTGTAAAATTCTAGCCATTCCTTGATTAGTAGTACCTTTAATTTTTAATAAAATCGAAGAATCACAGAGATTGGAAGCAGTATGGTGAAATGGTCATACATTGGGGCTCTGATTTAGTGACTTAAATCTAAATGCCTGATACCTCCCTCCCAATATTGTGATTTTTGGTTCTGATTTCATTTGAATGGCACAGAGATATAAACATTTCCATATCATAAAGCTAGGTGAAATCTAAATGAAAATATGTATATGTGACACTAGTGGTAGGGACTAGGGCCCTAGAAACCAATGTTGTCATTACTGTTATGCATTTTATTGTACTAGTAAAAGATCTGCAGCTTGGTTACTCTGGTGGGGAATACAGCTGTTATAATAGTCATAAAAATTATGTGACATAGTACGGCTTTTGGAGCTGCTTTCTGGTTTGCTAACTATCATTCAAATCATTACTATGAATAGAAAATATAGTGCCTTATGATTATGAAGAGTGAAAGATGCCTTTTAAAATGATGGAAGTAATTTATTACTTATCTGAATGCAAATGCACACTCTGAAATTAGGAATGGAATCTAGCATATCTCTTTTAAATATTCATAGGCAATAAAAACTCTGGCTGTTTGATTGATTTAACAGGCAATTCAAGTTACCTTAGTGCTGCATAATTGCAGCTGTAAGAAACATTAGATAGGTAATAAAAAAAAACCCACAAACCTCTGCCACAGACATTTGAGAAGAAAATGGGTTAAGGCTCATATTCAAATGAAAGGGTACTTTATCAGTGTAAAACCTTTTTCTCTAGCCAAGTAAATAATGGATTAAAAATTTAGAATTGTTGACTATAATTTATTAATGAGTAATATACAGATTTGATTTTTTTAAATTAAAACTCTGGGAGCCAGGGAGATGGCTTAGTAGCATAAGTGCTTCCTTGGAAGTGCAAGGGCCTGAGTTCAATCCCCGGTTCTGCCAGAAAGAAAAAAAAAAATTGAAACTCTGTTGCTATAACCATTTTTTTTTTTTTTTTTGTTACTCAAACTATCTCAAGGTTCCATCTATATAGCATGAAAACACTATATTTTGGAAGCAGATATCAGTGGGGATGTTCAAAGGACTGCTTTAGTTGACAAATGGGTTTATTACCTAAATAATTTGTAATTGATGAAAGTACCTGGAGAAGGAAGAAAATCATCCACTATCCAACTTTTTACTCAACATTGTATCTAAAGTATCTCATCAGTTCATTAAATACTCTCTTAGGACAGTGTGAGAAAAATATCAAGCCTAATATAATGTGATTTTTTCCCTTAAAGTGCTCAAGCACCTCGACTTAGTTTTGTTGTCAAGTAACTTACAGGTTATTATTGGCTAAATATCTGTATCATCACAACAAATACTGGCAGCAGTTTCAAGTTTACTTATTGCAGATTTATTTACTATTATTATAATCTTCATCGATCATTGAAGTGAATTGAAGAATTTTCTTCCAATTTTAAGACTTAGAGAATGTCAAAATCTTTTACCCCAGCCTTGTGAATTTTATTTTCTTTTACCTCTTCCATTTGAATTTTTCCTTCTTCAAAAATGTTTCTTTTTCTTTAATTTAACTGTCTCAGTCTGCACTTATAGCTTCAATATTCCTAATGATTTTCTTCCAGTCAATAAAAATATAATACTTTGCAGGGTCACAGACCATTTAGTTAGCAAAAGTATATATATTTTACTATATTTATACTAGAATATATGTATTTATTGTCTATCCTGATCTCTAATTATATATAATAATTATAAAATATAAATAATATACATATATCAAAGGTTAGTAATATATCATATAATTCAATAAAAATAAAAATCATTATTATTTCTTGAATATATACTACCTTCCTAGTATTACAGTAAATAAACATTTTCACTGTAGTGTTTCGTATTTTTTTCCATACGGACCCTACACTACAGGATCTGCTAATCACAGATGAGAGTATGAAGGCTTTGAAACCTATGTCAGTTGCAGGGGTTGACTTGATTTGCCTTGCACTCCACCTAAGGCAATTTGTAGAACACACTTTTGGGTGCACGTTACTGAGTCACTGGATGCTTGACCATGAATATGCTAGAGGTTCCCCACTATATATTGTCCTTCCTCTCTGGCATTGTTTACCTAAGACAAATCATAGTGGCCAATTGTATACCAGATTTTTGTGGGATCAAACAGACAAAGAAAGAAACTCCTTTAGATCTCATAAGCCCCAAATACACTCGTTTCAAAGAGGTTTGAATCCAGCCTCAGGGGGAGCGCCTCCTTTTCCCAGTTGGTTCTTTCTTTTTTCCAATTCCTTATTTCTGGAACAGTCTGTAGAGTTCTCTTTTAGTCTCTCTTTAGATTTAATTCCAAGTAAATAAGTACAATGCAGTATTACCTGCTGAGTGAAAGTCATTTCTGTGCTCTGTCTGAACCCTGAACCAACATAAGCAGCTATTCCAACTCCAGCTTATCTGATTTGAAATGTCTTGCTTTAATAAATCATTTCAGATCATAGTAAAGTAGGTATTTGATCAAAGTTTATTAGTTGAGATAAATAATTACAGGCTAAGACTCCCTTATGTGAAATAGGTGTGGCAAAATGTGCTCAAAACTGGGATTTTTTTCTAGTCTTGGGATAGATGCATATACACAATGAGGTATCCTGGAGATGGAAGGAAAATCTAAACACGTTATTTACATTTCATGTATACTCTACACATTGCAAAGGTAATTTTAATGTGCCTTTGTTTTCACTGATTCATCACGTGAAGTTAAGTGTGGAATCTTCGAAGAGTATCAAGTAAAAAACAAACATTTTTTAATAAAATATTTGGACCTAGAACATTTCAGATTCATATTTTCAAATCTGGGATGTCTACCCTGCTTTGATTTTGGGAAATAGTCAGATTTCATGTCAAGGATTATCAATATATAAAATCACAAGTATTTTTATATTAATAAAAGATTCAAAGATAAGTAATTAAATAGGATTGATACTAACATTCAGGCAGTGAGCAGCCGATTTCTAAGGACCAAATAGATGCTCATTAAAACATTAAAAATTAAAAGTTGGGACTTTTCATAATTTACCCAAAAGCAATTTTAAAATATGACTTTTTTGCTTTCATAGCAGGAACTATATTTTATCTGACAACAATGTTTAAGTCTAAACAAGTACATTCCTATTTCATATCAAAACTGAAATTTTCCAGATATGTAAGTGTATGTCTGTAATCCCAGCACTAGGGAGACTGTAACAAGTTTGAGGTCAGCCTGTGCTACACAGTGAGTTGAAGCTCAGCCTGAATGACATCGGAAGACCCCGTCTCAAAACTAAATCAAACAAAAAAGTATATATATATATATATATATATATATATATATATTTACATATATATTAGTTGGCATTCATTAGTTGGCATAAGCAATATCTGCTTTGGCTCATAAACTCACAATCAATAATAATGCAACAACAGTGAAGGGCAAGGGGGCTTTATGGAATCTCCTTTTTCTAATGGCTAATCCTTTATGTTGATATGGAAAAAAACATGGATAAAGTACTCACTCTATCCCCGTGGTGGCAAAGCTATGGCATGTGTGCTACAACCAGCTCTTTGTTATCACTGAAAGCCATGAAAGGTTCACCATCACTGCGAAGTGACCAGAGGCTGTTGTTGCACACTGGCCCAGATCTTGCCCATATGCACCTACCAGTGATTCTCATCCAGGAGGGTAGGAGAGGAGGTCCTCCTGTTTTAGACTTTCCTCTCAACATATAAACATATAAAACTTACTTTTCCATTTAAATAGCCAAAGCTTTCCCATCTGTCTCCCTAGAGACTATCTGTGTCATCTTTTATTTCCTTTCATATCCCTATCCTTTCCTAGGGGCACTTTGCTTATGTCTTACACATATTAACAAAGGAATCAGTTTTGCCTACATTAATGCCTGTAAATTTGAAGGATAGGAGTTACCATAGGTATTATCCAAAGCATTGAACAGTATTTTACATATAATTGATGCACTTAGTAAATGGATATGAAACCAGAAATCAACATTAAATAGTTCCTTTTTCCTTCCTGATAAATAATTTATTATTGATTTAGGGGAATATGCAAAACATTGGCTGACCAATAGAAATGGTGTTTTAGTTTATTTTTTACTAGATTTGCATGTAAATTCTAAATAATAAATCTCCATAATATATAAATACTAATTTTTATTACTGGAGGCATATAAATGATATCCAGGCTATGAACAAAATATTTTTAACAGATTATGTGTTATCACAGCAAAAGTTAGAGGGAAATAAATGAAAGGGGGGAAAGGAGAGAGAGATGGCTACCCATATCTATCATTATTCTTGAGTAAGGAAATCAAATCTGTGTTCAGTTCTGACTTTGTTTACTTTTTGCAGAACCGGGGATTGAACTCAGGGCCTTGAACTTGTGAGGCAAGCGATTGTTCTACTGAGCTATCTCCCTGGCCTCTAGATAACATTCTTTGAATATTAGATTATCTATTAATTTGCAGAACTGAGAATGGCATTTGTTCTTAGTATGTTTCAGTTTCCTGCTAAAAATCTTCCTGTTCAATATTGTAGAAGCTAAATTATATAAATATGTGCAGAGAAGTCAGCCAGGTACTACAGCTAATCTAAAACCTGGAAGCTGAGCTACACTGAAATTCTCCTGCATTTTGTCTGAGAAACCTTTTTCTGTTCTACATTTATGCAAAGAAAGAGTTTTCACTTGTCTTCATACCTCTTCATGTAGTTCTCTCCAACGAGAATTAAATGTCTCTAGTTCCTCATTGATCAGCTCATCCATGACTCCACCATCTGTTAGGGTCTGTGCCAAAATGCGAATCTGATTCGGGTTATCCTCTGAATGCTGCATCAAATTTTCAAGAGACTGAAACACATTTGCAACAATTAATACTTTTCTTCTTTTTCTAAATTCATTGAATTTACCACAAAATATTCAATGACATATGATTTGCACATAATTACACTATAAACTATTTAAAATAAAATTTAATTCATATAATAAAATATTAAGCACTGTCATTTAAAAATATGATATTGATCTATAAATCTTCATGGGCTGGTGACAGCAATTATAGTATGAGCATTAAAAAATGTTTCATAGCCACCTTCTTTGGGATGTCCTCTACTCTAAAATCCAGAAAAGTAAATACTTAATTTCTCAACTTCTCTTATAGCTACTGGTATAAATACAGAAAATCCACACATGTAGGAGTGCATATGCTGAGTTCTTCCCAAATGAGAAAAAAAAAAAAAGGAACAGTCTCCCAAAAAGAAATCCCTTTGCTAACAACATATTTTTATACACAGCCTGAAGGTAAAGCAACTATCTTTGAACCAATGGACAATAAAATGAATCAAAATCCTTCATGCTCAGGAAGAGAGAGAAGAAGAGGACCTGGGTGCTTCATATGCTGATTAAAATGTCACCATCTCAGGCTGCCTTTTCTCCATCCTTGTTTTTGTAGAGAAAGAAAGTCATTTTTGGACTTCAAAACACTGTGAAATCTTCTATTATTTGCAGTGCAACATTCCATACCTGAAATAATATTCAGGGTTGGCAGTGTTGCCTGGCTGGATTATACAGGAACAAAGAATCTCATTATTGAGCTTAGGTGTGCTAGAAAACAAAAGGCCTGAATATCATTTTACTGGGCTCCACCATGTCCAAAAATAAGGAGGGACATTATGTTCTAATGAACCCACTGAACACTCTGATGTTTTTACTTGATTTAATGTTACAATGTATACTTGTAAGTTTTCTTAAATATCTGTTATTTTTCAAAATCTGACAAATCTCAATGTTTTCCTATTAAATTTTGAGTAAATCAAAATATAGCCCACTAAGTGATTGTGTACAAAATATAACAATTACTTCTCAAATGTTCATCAAATTTTAGTATAAAACGTTATTATTAAGTACACATACAAACTGACACATTGTTTTACTTCCAATAAAATTTAACTTTGTAGATTTTTAGTAGCATGTATTTTCCTTATGTCCTAATGAAGTACACAGGCTACAAGTCTTAAAAACTTGAACTAAAGCAGCAAGGTAAAATTAAGAAACCAATACAGAAAACTTAAGCAGAAAAGACACTAAAATCATGTAAGTTTTATACTCTTTCTATTTTGCCTTTTGTGACTCAAAAATGTCTTCTCAGATGATCAGTAGAAACACTGTTAAATAACCAGTGAACTTTAAATAGTAAAAACAACAATAAATATAAATAGTAGGCCTTTTCCTTTCCTGAAATATTCTGCTTCAGTCTTCCTTTGCTGATTACTCAGTCCAGAACATTCCTTATTTTCTCAATGTATCACATAAAATATTGTTTTAGCAGTTTTACCTTGAACCACATACAATATGATCATTTCATAGGCTAGAAATCCTATCAGTCTCTGTTCTTACCACTACAGTCTTATTAGGGTGCTGCACGTTTTATTTAATCTTCTCTAGCAGATACATAACACTATTAATTCACAAGTAATGTTTGAGCAATGCATGCATGTGAATTGACAGGGACAAAGTATAGTTCACTTGAAATCTACTTCATTGTTCTTGATATCACTTCAGCTTATTATATCTTGAAAAATGAGAAACATGGATAAAATGATCTGCTGTAATGTCTAGGATTCAAATTTTATTCTATCTAAAGAAATGTTTACACTTTTTCTATCTTGAATGATTTACTCTTCAAGCTTTACAAAAGAGTTATATTTTCATGAAGTTCTGAATACACTGAACATGCTAAGACTATATATTCATTATGAGCAAAAAAATACAATGAAATGCATAGAGCCAGAACACCGAATTAATGAATATCAAAAATTATATAACTCAGATATACATGCAAACTTCTTTAAAGCTTATTAAAATCTCAATAATAAAAATGGAAAATATACTAAAATTTTATAAACATTTAAATGTATACACCTTTAAACATAAACATATATGTGTATATGTTATATATGTATACTGTAAATATGTATATACTATAAAAATATACAGTTTAAAGCATATATAATTTGTCTAATATCAAAGCATGTTCATTCAATACCTCAATACATTGGATAAAGTATAAAACCTTAAGAAAGGCCATTTAAATACTTTTAAAATGCATTCCAACATAATAAGGGTAGCAGTTTAACCTGGAAATAATATTTACTATTATCCTGTGGTTTTACAGTCTTTAGAGAGCTAGGCAGGCAAAGTGACTATATAGTATTTGAGAGAAAATGTGTCTCCCTAAGAGGTTATTTATACCCTCTTGAAACTTTGACACCTGGAAGGAACTTAAAAGGAACAAAGACCATTTTCAAAGTCCCTTTGTTAAGTAATGCAGAGTAACTATACCTTCTGCTGGTTTTTCTCTGTTTGGTACCTGAACTCTTTCAATAATGTAATGCAATTCATATCATTAAAATTAATTTACAACTTACTTCTAGCACCTCAGAAATTTCCTCAGTTCCACCTGGAATACTTTCAGTTGTTTTAAGTTTCAATTCTACTTCATTTAGCCATTTGGTTGCCTTTTCCAAGTAAGACAATAACTCATGCCAACATGCCCAAACTTCCTAAGAAAGAAACATATAACATATATTAAATATTTTGACAGAAAACGGAATATGAGGCTTTTGCATTGCATTTTTGAAATGTCTGAAAATATAACATTTTAGTTTGTATTTTTACCTTCCTCCAGCAGGAGATAATTTAAAGTGCAACTAATTACACTGAAAATCTAATACCTCAATAATTACAAGTCATTAAGGAAACATTTTATTGCATGAATAAATTCAAGATGCAGCTATTTGCTATCTAAAATAAAATTATTCAACAGCATGATATTTAGAGAAAAAGAAACACATGTAAAATACATATATAAATCAATTTTTTCATGTACAAACTATTAAGGCTCTGTGACAGTTAACTTTATCATTTATAATTTGATATTAAAATTAAACGGCTTTAACATAGCACTCATTGAATAAACATGTTGTATCATTTCCATATTACTTAGAAGACACATGTCAAAGGAAATCTAAGATTTCATTTCATTTCATTGACTGGACAGTTTTATTTTCAATTTTACATCTGCAGTACTAACCATTAAAATATGATTGCTTATTATATTTACTATTTCCTTGAGATACATCACAAATACAGTTCATATTTCAAGGGTCTGTTCATTTCTAAGTATCTTTGATAGACATTGCAAAGCTGATTCATGTACATGGAAACTAGAATAAGAAAAAAATTAATATTTCTAAAACAGAAGTAGATTATCTTATTGACATGGGAATATGGAAGGATATTTTATAAATGTTTCATAAAACTTTTTTAAAATTTCACTACAGGAAAATATAGTGAGAGAGACTACACAGAGATGGAAAGGAAATATGGGGATCGGGAGAAATTGGAGGGAGAAGAGAGAAATACAAAGTAAAAAATTCAAGATATACTCACACAACTCCCCACAATATGTGTTATAAATATATTATCATAAGAAGAGGAAAAAGAAAATAGAAGAGCAGATTTTATTGCATTATATTTTAAATATCGTACACCCCTGCTTTCATCAACACAACTCAGAATACATAAATCTTTTTTATGTTTTTGGTACAGGGTCTCACTATGAAGCTCAGATGCATAGTAATCCTCCTGTTTTCAGCCTCTCCAGTGCTGAGATTATGGGAATGCACCACCATGCCCAGTCTCTGTGGTTGGCTCAGTGCAGCTAGGGGGAGGGCTGGCATACCATGTGGTGCCAGGGATGAAACCCCGGTCCCTGTGCTTGCCTAAGCAAGTGCTTAGTTCACTGAGCTCTCTCGCAAGGCTCAGAATATTTAAGTCTTGAAATCAGCATATATATCTATATCTATATCTATATCTATCTATTGATAGATAGATAGATAGATAGATAGATAGATAGATAGATAGATGTGAATGGATGAAGACAATATGGTACATAAACACAATGGAGTATTACTTTGCTATAAAGGAGAAACTTCAGTAGGGAAAAGGATGCACCTGAAGACCATAATATTAAGCCAAATGTCTTAGATGTACAAGCTTATAATATCGCATGGATTCTTTTAATGACAACACTAAAATATAAATAAAACAAAGAGGAAAATAAAAAGGAAATAGACAGGGCTGGGGAGATGGCACAGTGGGATAAGTGCTTCCCTGGCAAGCACAAGGGGCTGTGTTCAATCACCGGTTCCACAAAAAAAAAAAAAAAAAAAAAAAAGGAAATAGACAAATAGATATTTTGCAAAACGGAAGAGAAAAAAAGGTGGAGTGTGGGGAAGTGATGGTAACTGGAAAGAAAATGAATCAAGATGCATTATATATATTTATCTACTGCTTATAACATAATTATTATGTACTGTACATGTGTACTATAAAAATAAAGAGAAAATTTAAAACTGTATAATTGCCAAGACACCCCATTAAGGAATCAAAAAATAACCCATGTAAAATTAATTGCAAAATTATAACAGAAACAAATTTAATACACCAATAATTCAATAAAAAGATGAATAAGTAATGCAAAAGAAACATGGAGGAAGGTCTAAACCATTCTATGAAAAAGAAACAGGGCTGTACAGTAAACATAGGAAAATATATCCAGCTTCATTAGAAACCAAGGAAATATCAGAATTACAATAGGATACCATCGTACCTGACAAAAATTAGAAGCTTAACAGTTCCATGTGTGAGAAAAGATATGCATAAAAAAACCTATTATTGCTGGTAGGTGTCTGTTTTGGAATGATAATTTTGGAAAAATAACTGTCATTTACAGCAAGGTAAATAGTTCCTAACAACTCCATTTTTCATTGTATATCTTCAGAGGAACTGTTTCATGAAGGCAACAAAATAGTTTCAAGAATGCTCATTTGAACACTTTTTGTAATAACCAAACTTAAAATAAAAAATGTAAGCAATATTAATGTTCACCAGAACAATGAGTGAATATACCACGTGATGTTCAAAAAATTTTGAAGTAAAAATGCAGATCATGAGACAAAATAATGGGTGACCCCTTTGAAAACAAAAAGGTCAGTGTAAGAAATAAATCCCAGCAAAGTTTGTATTTTGGATTATCATTTTAAAATTTTCCAACAAAAGCTATATATATTTACTATATATAAGCTATGTATGTAATACATTGTATATATATACATGTTTTCACAATTTTGTATTATAATTTTAATGAAGTTTTTGGTAGATATGTAAACAAGTATAACCATTATGAAAAGTGTAGGGAAATGCCTCAAAAAGCTAAAATTGGCAATTCTACTTGACCTAGCTGTTCTCCTTCCAGGTATCTTTTCAGAAGAGTTAAAGACATGATAGTCAGTTATCCTGACTCATCAATGTTTATGGAGCACAATATAAAATTGCCAAATCTTAGAAGTGGTCTAACATACTAAGGGCTGGGAAAATGTGGTACTCACCAAAAAATGTAGTACTACTCTTTAAAAGAATAAACTTGAGGCCTTTTTAGATTAATAGATATGCCTCACAACCATAATCTTTAGTGAAATATATCAGATAGATAGGTTTAAATATGACATGGTTTCTCTTATATTAGAAATCCAAACTATAAATAAAGAGCAAAAGAATAAAACACAGGAAGCAGAGAAGTAGAGATTTTGCAAATCAAAAGGGACCAAGAGATGGAAGGAATGGAACAGTAAAGTTAAGATTTCTAGATGGCGATGAAATTTTCGAGAAAAGGCCAATGAGCTGAGATAGAGAATAAAGACATGAAAACAGTGATTTTCTATTAGCTCTGCAATTCTCAGTTTGTGGCACAGTTGTCAATATAATAATATGGCAAAATCACTAGCACTTAGTACTACATTCCTCGAATCAGTAAAAGTATAGCCAAGAAGGGAAGCTTTATTTTAGCAGAACCTAAAAAATCTTGCAGCTTGCCCACTACAAATGATAGAAGATACTCTATTGTTATCAAATGAAATGTATCATTCTAACCTACCTTGACAGCCTAGCAAGTTTCCATGTCTGCTTGAGATTTTATGTACAGTTTTCCACAAAATAATTAAAATTAACTGTTTTGTTCTAAAAGGTGATAGGAATCTTAAATCTGGGTCATTTGTAGCTCCTGCTGGACTACCGACTGTCTTCCTTCTGGGCAAAGATTCCAGTGGGAAAATATAAATATCTCCTTAAATACCCAAGGGTACTTTAGAGGTTTGGAGGTAAGGGGATGCAATTGGTAATGTGTCTTATTAACTTTGGAGCCGTCCATAATAAATGAACTACCTTGCTGATTAAACCGTCAGGATGGATGGCATCTTTTGTCCTAAATGCATCTCAAGGACACAGCTGGAGAGGCTGACTGTACCAGCTTTATAGGTCACCTTTGCAAAATAAAATAGAGAGTCAAAGCCTAAATTGAAGCTGAAAGCCCCTTAGAATAACCATTTAGCTTAACAATTTGGAACTTAAAATTACTTAGAAATCACAAAGTTCAAAGTGGCTTTGAAGCAGAGTACAAATGAAAAAATAAACTTCCACTCAAAATTGCATATGGTGCTTATGGGGTAACCTCCTCCTGCCTTGTTTCAGTCATAGTGAAATGCTAGGTTAGATATGAAGGAAACATGTTAAATTTAAAGCTAATATATAAAACATATAGCAGAAAACCTTAAGCATCAGTAAAAAGAAGAAAGAGCAAAGAGTAGTTAACTAGTTTTAAAAATGCTGGCATAACAGAGGAGTACAGGACATATGATCTGGGATATTTAATATAAATTGGGACAGGAAATGAAACTTTTGTGTCAAACATTCCAGAAAAAAAATTAGTGTGCCACTCTTGTTGGATACATCAAACTCCTCACTAACTAAAGAAAACTTGTAAGGAAGCTGGAAAGTCTGTAGATTCTTGCTTGCAAAGATCCTTTCATCAGATATTGAGGCTCAAGCTTGTATCACACATGAGGGCAGAGCTTAAAACTTCTAGGACCCTGGCAGAGGCAAACACAAATATTCATAGAGACTACTCAATAGTCCAGAGTCAAAGAAATTTCCAGGAAAAACTACTTTCTGCTATAGGCCAACTCACAAATTGTTTCTCAATAAAATTAAATTTAAAAAATATTTAAGGCACAAAAATATTTTAAAGTAAAATCAAGTATCAGAATATAGGATTGGATGATTTTTTCATTACCTAATAAATGGAAAAAGACAATATTCCAAAGCATTAGAAAAGAAATAAATAATTTGTCAATTTTTATTAATACATCAGGTGGAAAATATAACTGAAAGAAAATCTACACATAGACAAAATAGAGCCAAAACTTCAGAGCTTTAGAGAGGGAAAATTAAGTGGTACCAGAATAAATTACAACGGAACAATAATTTGACAGAAAGCTTGTTAATAGCAAGAAATTTCAGAGGACTACAGAATATTTTACATGTTGTAATAAAACACCTGTCCTTACATAATTATATGCTCAAGTAGGCTTTTGTTCAATACTGAGGGCAAAATAAAGGCATTTTCAGTCATGTGAAATTGGAGAGCATTTCCTATTCATGTATAAGGAGAGGCAAGAAGGAAATTGAACACAGAAACAAGGGAAAAGATGAAACCAAAACTAATTAGAGAAATTGGTAGGATGACCTTCTCAAAAACCACATGATCACTGTATAAATATTGATTACAGTTGTAGCAGCAATAGTATTGACAAATGTAAGGACACTGAAAAGTAATGTATAAATCAAATACTAAGCATATATA